CACACACACACACACACACACACACACACACACACACACACACACACACACATCTCCATTTTTCTCGCTCTCTCTGTGTCATCACTGTTGTGTCACATAGAAGCACAACCTTATAAGCCTGACAAGGCCTGAGAACCTAAACCACTACAAAGAGACCAAAGAAGACCCACAAACAATGGCTCTATGTCAAGTAGCCTCTGTGCCTGTTCACGAGCGGGAAGTCCAAACACATCTGTCCGACAACCCGCTTTTTCTCAACAATAGGAAAGTAGACATGTGGATGAGAGATAAGGGGGGACAGAATGACCAGATCAAAACTTATTCCAAATGAGTTACACACCACGGCAGCATTCAAGCACAACCCGGACCTCATGTGGAGATAGGGGATGCACGGTTTTCCTAACAGCACTTCAAGGTAGACATACACATACAGAGAGACGCGCCGGAAATCCAAACCTCAGCAGTGGCCTCACCAGTCTAACTGCAGACTGAACACTGAATGGAGGAAAAACAAGTTTGGAGTTATGGACTGAAGTGAGCATGTTTGGAGCAGACATGTGACCGGCTTGACTGGTGAAGCATACTTTGGAATAAAAGACTGCTGAGGCCCTCACCGGCGGTATATAACTCACTATTTTATAGCTCACCGGTCTACAATTCACTAGTTTAAAACTCACCTGGTCCAGTCTACAGCTCCAAGAGTGTAGCTGCCAGGCCAGCAGGATATGAACCAGCAACCTGCCCCAATTTTCTCTTGAACTTTAGAGTCTTTTTGCTGTTTGCTGCTGGCAAGATTCGAACCTAGGATCTGTAGGTAGAATCACCGTAGTAGGCCCCTTCAAACCAGCAGATCTACAGTCTTCCCCCGAATACAACGTACGGTCATTATAGCTGAATTTGGCGTATCTTTCGGTCTAAATTCAGCTATAATGACCGTGCGTTGTATTCGGGGGAAGACTGTAGATTGTTCCAGGAGATGGGGTCGGTAGCTGTAGGCTGGAGAGCAGACCAGCAGATCTAAATTGTCCCAGCAGATGGGGTCAGTCGGCCCAGACTGGTGAGCACCTCGTCCCCAAAACTCACAAGCTGGGCAGCAGAACCAACACATTTTTGAGTTGGCAAGTTTGCTTGAGTGGGAAGAACAAGCAGCATTATTTTTAGCGCTAACTGCAGCGAGATTGAGCACAGGCATAGCCAGGTAGTTCTGGCAAGCTTCTGCATCGTTTTCACGTCCATTGGATGCTCTCTGTAATCAGGGCAGTGGGATGCCCCGTTGGTCACGAGAGTTCCTCTGCTATATGAAGCACTCAACTGCGAAAACTTTTTTTTTCTTTTTTTTACTTTCAGTAAAGCTCACAATCAAGTGCGATTGCTTTTCCAATCAATTGTGGGCGCGTAAGGTGTGTTGGAATGGCACGAAGTCTGCCTCAATTGTAACAGTACCATATGCAGTACAGGCTAGCAGAAGCAAACGGAAAAATCACACGCAATTCGACAAATGTCATGCTGCACATGCCATTACAGAAGAGCATGATGTCCTTGCCTGGTGCTGGATAAATGGTACATAGCTGAGCTATTGATGCATAGGATAAGGATTAAAACTTCAAACTTAAATTTTAAAATCCTGTCCACCTCCATAGCATTGAACCGCCAGTACAACGCCACGGGCAAGTTGAGAATCGAAAACCAGTTGTTCTGAAACGTTCGGAGGCTCAGGGCCGCCAGACCAAAACGGCGCCAGCCCAACGAAAAAAGAAAAGTGTGCTGCTGGCAGTTTGGCACCGCTTGGTGCGCAGTGCGAATCAGCCACAGCAAAAAAAGGATCGAATGTACTGGTCCTTTTAAGGGTGTTGCCCTTACCCCCTTGAGAATTGGAACAGAAACGACGTACGACCCTGTGGTGAGAGACGGGGAGTCCCAATCACCTCCATAAAATCCAGGTCAGAAGAGGCCGTTAAGAAGACGGCAAACCATGCCAAGACCCTTCATGGTTATCTTCGGCGACGTCGACGTACATGGTATAATGTGATATACTAATATCAACCATTCCATGACCCCATCAAACGTGTTCTTGGTGGAGTACATGGCAAGTGCACAGTGTGCGCGCCTTTTTTTTCGTGCATGCAAAGCAGAGTGGAAGAGTTGGAAAGACAAATGGATTCTCCAGGGAGGAGTCCGCACCTGCACATGACTCCCTGCACACAAGCCCTTTGGCTGAAGAAGCATGGACTTGCCCATGTGACGACCATTCTTAACCTGACGTGAACTGCAAGGGGAGCCTCGTGGTGTACCTGCGTGATGCCTGAATGGTACGTGCTACTGCGCACATGCATCTGTTGATAAACAGGCCAACAGGCCAGCAGTTCAAACCCTATCGAATACAATAATGTTAGGGGCGGCCCGAAAAACAGGTGAAAGAAAAAAATGGATCCCAGTAAGGAAGGAGTCAATATTTTTTTTACATGAAAAAAAAATGAAAACAGTGCACCACTCGAGCACTCTCTCTTGCGCGCTGCTGCTTCACGCAGCATGCAAGTATGCTCAAAAAAGATTTGACTCAGCGCGAAAGATCAGATATGAAAAAAAAGTCCAAAACATAGCAACCCGATGAAGGTGAAGAGGGCCTGAAAAGAGGGGGGAAGTGGTGGTCCAGAGTTCTTCCCACAACCGAGCCGCAGTGCTCGATCGGGATGAATCAGAGGGGTATGAACTCCTAATAAGGGCATGTTCACACACAAAGTGACTTTCCTAGATGCAATGCATCAAGATCTCGCTATGCGCTGGAACATCTCGCAAAGGTACCAAGTACACTGCAAAAGATGCAAAAAAACTTTAAAAAAGCAATCCGTCATCCATAGCAATATTTTGACGCCGTTTGCTAAATTCTGTTGCTAACAGGATTTATAAATCAGTGGTTCTCCTCTTTTTTTTTTTTTTTTTTTTTTTTTTTTTTTTTTTTTTTTTTT